TACATATATATGTATATCTTTATAGAAAATACTAAAATGTAAAAACCAAAAATTTATTAAATCAGATATGAAAACTTAAATGAAATAAAAATTGAATAAATTACTCATGACAGCTGCAAAGCAATATAACAAAATGAATGTAGATTTCTAAAGTCTTTTAGCCTTGGCTGTAAGAATAAGGAGGCAATCATTTTAAAATTAAAAATGATAATTTAGATTTATTTTGTATTTTTAAACTTTTCAAGTTTGAGGCATCAAAAACAAAAATTACTATATAATATATTCAATCATCATAATTTAGGTATAATTTTTGAACCGTTAGGATTTTCAAAGGAAACAAACAAAATTAGGCTTAAAGGAATTTTATCTGTTTTGCTAATAAACTATTTATAGCTTTCTTAGAACTTATATAAGTGCAGAAAAGGATTAAACAGCATTCTCCTCACATTCAATCAGTGTTAATTACCTTGCTTAATTCTATCTTCATACTTTGTTTTATGAACATATTATTTCAAGCAGTTCTCTTTTTTCCAGCTCATTTGGTTTCTTTTTTATTCATCCAATTAACTGTGTGTGTGTGTGTGTGTGTGCACAGGTGGGGTCAAAGTGTACAGAATGCCATTCAACATGGTGTTTGTATTTGATGTCAGAGTTATTAACTATTCATTTTACCTTACCTTCCTGATTCAGTAAAGTTCATGGTAAAGGACAGTAAATACAAAATACAGTATAAAAGGATAGTGAAATTTCAATTGTGGATGTGAATTTTGTATTGAAATACAGTAAGTAAACTATACAATGAACAGAAGTATTTCTATCTTTCACACAAACATCACCTTGCACTCCAACTTGCAAGAGTCAAAATCAGACTGATGTTATCAACTGGAAACATATCATGAGTAGAAATACTTTTGTAAGCATCTGTTTGCATTTTATTAAACGTTTTCCACATTTCATGTAGATACACATAGTAAATTCAGAATCATTGCACCATTCCTTCTCCAGTATTGGGTTTGTCCAATGGACCAATTCTATGAACATTTCAAACCCATTACATTTCCCTACTTATGGGCTCTGAAAATTCTGGTGAAGTCATATATCTGGTAAAGGATTAAAAGAGTATCTCCGATAAAGCATTTTTTTACTCTAAAGGCAAAAAACAGAAGTCAAAACTCATACGTATTACTAAATCTATACTAAAACTCTTCTTGAATATACTGTTTACAAGCTTTTAATAATGTATCTTCTTTTTATGTAATAAGTAGTTTGCCCTTTTTGCTACAGTAAATGAATGACACAGACTGCTGAAAAAAATACATAGGGATCTTCTAAAAGCCAGTCTTCCTTACTTCATTATTATAAAATTTTGTGTTACTTTTAGTGAAATTTATTTAAAGACTTTATTTTTAAAATTTTGCTGACTTTAAATAAAGCAGTTTTTAATAGTGCTGTATTTTTACTTAATGGTTTTAAGATATATTTGTTCTGTAATATTTATAGGTTCTAATTCATATATGGTGTAACTTTTCCAATCCTAATCCAGTTCTGTGGTACAATTTTCATTCATTTTGTATCTAGTTTCATTCATTTTAACGACTGTTTATCCCTTTGAATACAAGTAGGTAAAAGTGCACACATCACAACCTTTTTACAGTTAAATTAAACAATTTTATTATTAATTTATGTCAATAAAGTTGGCATCAAACCATAGTTAATATAAGTTTTAATTTCTTAATTTCAAATGGGAATATTTAAATAAATTTTCAATCTGCATTTATGAATCACATGACACTTGTTTGCTCCAAATTTCCCACTTAAACATTCCTAACCTCTATTGGAGCTTCTGTGTTTTAATACAAATTATTTAGTTATAGTATAGATAATAATGATACAAAATTTGAACTCATAGCTTCCAATCATTTTTAGTTACAAAGTTATAAGCCAGAAAGTCAAGCCCACACACCACAGTCTTTCAAAAAAATTTCTATAATTATCTCTGATGTTTGCTATTACATTATTTATAACCAATAGAAAGAGAAGATTTTACATAATGCTAGCTTTTTTCTGACAATAGCTTTTGAATTATTCAACATACAATTTTAAAGTTGCTATCACTAACTTCATTGCAAACATGGTAAAAGAATTATTATAATACACTTATAGGACATTGTATTCTTTGTGCATGATATTATTTTGTGTTCTAAATTCAATATTTGAAATAAATAAAAATTCACTTAACTACTAACAACAACTATAGCAAAAACTAGGGTAACATTTTATCAATACTTCATGATTTCAAGTGCAAAAAAGTACAAGACCCATAAGTACTAAATTTCTTGTTGTTTTATATATATTTTTCATTTATTATTATAAATATAACTAAAATGTAAAAATTTGAAACTTATTAGGTCAGATAAGAGAAAATAAAAAGTTAAACAAAAACATTTCTCAACAATATATGCATGCAAGCTGCATGTGTTTTACATAATTCAGTATTTTGTTTAAAGTAACTTGAGCTAACTGTCACCAGGTGACTTATTGTTTGTTATACAGGTTTACTAGGTAGAAAGAACTCAAAGAGCACCAAAACAATAAAATTAAATGAAAACATGTAAACTGTTATAAACTTGAGGTAGTTTACAATAAATAATTGTGCTTTTCTCATAAAATCCACAATCATTCTAGATTGACAAAAAAGGGTAATTCAGATTTATTTTATATTTGTTTGTGGTGGCTACATGGTCAGTCAAATGGACCAAGTCCATACAATTTTAGGGTAGAGAAAATACAGATAAAATAGTTTTATTGAAAAAACGTTTGATATTCATATAAGAGGAAAACTATAAGAAAAAAAAGTGTTTTAAATCTTTACAAGAAAATCAACTTGCATTCAAACTAGTCAAAGTCTGACTACATTAATTCACAGATAAATCTTTAATAACAATATTTAATTGAAAAAATTTTATTTTTGTGTACAAAAGATCTGTAATTTTTACTAAATCTTGCTAAATTTCATGAAAAATGCACTTACTCAATTAAAAGTTATATATAGTGTGTATAGTTTTGTGGTAACATGGTGATTTCAAGGTCAGTCAAAATGACCAATCTCTTACAGAAAGAGATAATATCCAACAACTGTAATTTTATATTCAGTTTTACATTATTTCAGTTTACATTACACATTTTGTGAAAATTTTCTACATATTCTTAATTGATGTCCTTTTAAACAAGATGTAAAAGGTCAGGAACTTGTGGCAATCCTTTATCTTAGACAAAGGTTACATGTCACTACAGTAATTCTTTAAAAGCCTATGCTTGTTTGACCATACTGATACATCATTACTCCCTGAGAGTGCAAGGTAATATGAATTGTAGAGAGGCTATCTATCTTGAAAATGTATAATGAAAATGATTCTTGACATAAGTAACCTAGAATTGTAGTATACCTCAAAAGGAACTTTGTTCTGATTTGTACAATATCATTGTTATTTTTGTCTTCATCTCAAGTAAATGTATTTCTCTCTAGCTCCAGCAGTCAAAGAAGTCACACAATAAACTTTGAAGCTGGCCAGTACAGTAATACCTCATTACCCATTACTTTTATTGTTGTTTGTGTAAATAAATAATTTATTTTGTTTTACATGTGTACTTGAGTCATTTCCTTCGCCGTCCATACTAGATTAATTCTTTAAAAACAGTTCCTAAATCTGATATTTATTGCAATTTGATTATAGTTTACCAGTTTAAAATAAGTGTACCTGAACACCACATATAAAACTCCATGCACATAAAGAAGTAAAAAATAAGCAAAAAATTCTTAAATAACAAGCTATTAGGAAATAATGACATATGATATACATTTTAGTTACAGTATAGAAAAAAAAAGATTCTGAGATTTTTTCATTTACATCCCAAAAAGTATATAAAATGCTGAAACCATTACAATATTAGATGAATATACAAAAGATTAACTTATTTTATATTATGAATTTACCTCTGGCTCTTCTCCTTTCCTAATCAATTGCTTTTGTGTCATTCTCGCAATGTTGCAAACATTTGACTAAACAGAAATAGAAATTATGCCATGTATTTAATCGGTGCTTAACTACTTTAAGTATATATACATACAGAGTAAAATGCAACATTAAACACAAGAAGTTCTAAATTCTTTTCTATTTCAAAACAATATATCACATTAGTGGTCACCACACACACAAGTAATAAAAATTCTTTAATAGTCAATCCCAAGGAAAAGGAATGTTGCTTACTTTCTTTTTTTCTTACATAACCTAATAAATCTTATTTAAACAAATTATGCATAATGTGATACACAACTTTACCATTTTCTCAACAACACCTGTATATAATTTTACTATGTGATCAATGATTCACAAACCATGGTAATAGATTCTAGGCTAAATTTAAATGAAAAAAGAAACTAAATTACTAAAAAAGAAAACAAAATTTATTTATATATTACAAGAACTGAGTTCAATTCTTCTTGTTTTTGACAAGGAAAATTTCTTATGAATAACTTTCCTTCCACACCAGCTATAATTACTATACCTGTCAAACTTGAACAGTTCAAAACAATTACAACCATAGCTTTTCCACACTTATAAAATGAGTTTTTAAACTGCAGTGTGAAAATCCTTATATCACAGGAAAAGGTTCTATCTGCTGTTAGAAAAAACAATTAATCTAAAACTAGGTTACATGACCAACCATAATTTCTGATCTACATATCAGATCCCAAAATCTAGCTACTTTTTTTGTTTTTTAATGAAAACAAATTCTAACCTATTTCTTTCATAATATTTACTGTCTTAGGCTTAGCCTCATGATAAATATCAAGCTTACCAAGTTGACATATATGAAATTTGAATATACACAGTGTTGAATATCCCATTATCAAATAATGACAGACACTTTCTTTGGAATAAAACTATTTAATTTAGATACATGTCAAAACCTGGTCCTTGAGGATGCAGCGAGCAAATATTATGGCTGTAACACTTTTATGGCATAGAACATTAACATGTCAGGTACACAATGTTGAACTTTTTAAAATACTAATACATGTAGTTGTACTGATATGTTCCAGCAAATAGGAGGTACATAACTTTGCCTTCCCATATTTTCAAGGTTGTTACATATGGCAAGAGGTCAGTCCAGAACAGGGCAGTGATTAACTCAATTAATTAATCAATTAACATCACATAAAATAATCAATAAACCAAAATTATGATTCAACTGCTTAAAGTCAGGAAAATAATCAACTAATCAAAATACTGTCATTATGATTATTGATTAATTCAAAGTTTTTCAGCTTAATCTTCATGTCGCAAGTCACAAAAATAATCAAAAACTTAATAATTAATGTTTTCAATTATTCTATCCATTCAAGTCTCATTTGAGGATAACCATTTAATTAGCCTAATGTAATGGTTAATCAATTATCAAATTCTACTAATCACCCATCTGTACTCCAGAGATATCTGTACATCTTCTCTTGTGATATGTTTATCAAGTTATCAAGCTGGCCGTTAATATATTGTGTGGAAAGATGGAAGTATTGGAAGACTTAAGTCTCACTCCTTTTTATCTCAATGGTACTCATCTAAAGATGTGTGTGACTTTGCATTATGGGAAGACTTAATGGACCTTAGGATTAAATACAATCCTAACCAAAATTAGTTCTTGGCCAAAATAAACTTTAAGATCATATAGAGAATTTATCAGGTTTATACTGGTGCCTGCTAGTTCTTGGTTAGAATAGACTTTGCAAAAGTTTCATAAATTTGCCAATTGTTGCCTTGGGTTATTTCCAGAATGAAGCCAGTTGGCAGCACAATTTCACATTCTTTTTTTGTTTTGGTGAAATAAAAATGTTATTTGTTTAAAGTAAAACAACTTGTCTAGTCTCTTTCTTTATAGTCTAATTTAATTTAGTTAATTTATCTAATTAACTGACTCACTTTTTGTATGGAGACACGAAGTGGCAAAGCTGTTACTCAAAAATGGGATGCAAAATATGTTGCATTGATGTTCAGTTTTCTTGTGTTTATGTAGAAGATTTCTTTGAATTTTCTAGAATTTTTCTTAGTTGAGAAACTTGTAGTTGTCACAGTTAATGGTGTGACCTGTGATAACGACATTTTTTGGTATGGGTTACATGAAATTACACATTTCTTTGCCATTAACAAACAAATGTTCAGACAAACTGGAAGATGCTCCTTGGTTCAATACATAAGATCTTACTGCTAATGATAAATTGGAACTAGATGACAAAAGCAGACCTAAGGCTGCCTTCAGCAATCAAAATGACTTGTATACATTTTGTGTAAAGCCCAGCCTTTGTGATGCATCTGCCACTTTGCAGAAGTTGATGGAGCTTACACTGAGATAACTGTAATGGAAGAGGCATTTAATCTATGTGAACCAAATTTTTGCATTGTCCAGTTGTGCTGCTGAGAACCTGCAAGTAGTGGTTAAGTGGATAAAAACACTAGGAATAGAAATGATGACAAAAAGAGAGCATATGGATTTTTTACAATGTAGACAGGGACAGTTTACTCTGATGCTGTAAAAATTGTACATGTTAAAGATTAATGCAAGCCTGTGACCAAATGAGATGTCCTGAGCTTTCTAAGCTTTGTGCCATACTACTGATGGTTTGTAGCAAACTTCTCCAAGACAGCTGAACCATTGTTCGATCAGATTTTATTTCAAACATCTTACAGGGATAAGTGGAACTTTTGATAAAATCTAAATCTGCCAGGAAGTTTGAGAGCCTATTTTTCCCCCAATAGGGTTAAGGGCAAAGCCTCCAGAAGTTTAGAAATGTTGTCTGCATTGAGCACAACTGGTTTGACTAAAGGACAAGAATCCTTTCTTACACTGGTGGTGCCATAGTACTGCTAATAAAATTGAAGATATTGATGTAATTTTGATAACTTTAGTATATATATGGATAACTTACTAAGATAACTCTTTAGATTCATAAAGCATTCTATGTTTTTACCTCAACAGTTTAATTTAAATTTTTATGGTTATGAAGTTTAACAAATCTACATCATCAATAAATTAATCAACAAAGGGTGTGAAATAAATTTAAACTATCATTCAAATTTCATTATTTTATTTATTTCCCAAACTGGCAAACATCAGAGTTATGCCAAAACAAATTTCTATTTTACCATTACCCCCATCCCTCTTCTATATCTACATCTAATTTGAGAAATACTTGAAATATCTAAGCAAAATAGGTTACTTCAAAGAAAAATTTGAACAAAATAAACATGGTCATGATGACAGCTAGCCTAGTTCTATTAGAGATTCTACAATAAAGTAGAAAAAGAGATTATTTACTTGTTATGTTAAACAAGTGAAAATGTTGTCAGTTTCAGTTCTGGAATTTTCATATTATTGATCATATTCATAACTGAACTATATCCATAGAAACTTATTCTTCACAGATCAGTCAATTGTTTTAATGAATGGTACATAGTTATTTTTCAGCTTTCTCATCATAAACATCCAAAACAATCTCAGTCCATACAACTAACAAAGCTGGCACTAAATGAGATCTCATGTTACAAAATTTAATCATCAAATCATTTACTCATTATTGTATGGAATGAAAACTAGGCTCTGTTTTTCTATTTACTTATACTGAGTCTCCAAATGGTTCACTTCCAATGGTTGAACAATTCTGACACTTAACCATCTATGAATTTACTTACACAAGAGAAGAATCCATGCTAATGATCTCAAAACATATCTAATACATAAGTGTATAATGGATTTGCAATGATTTCAAGAATGAACATAATGGTCAAAAAAAGTCCAAAATCATCAAATGGTGAAAGACTATAATACCTAATATTAGATGGAGTGAAGAATGTGACCAAGAATTTCAATTAACAAATTATGCTTTGGCTGAAGCTCCACTGTTACCACATCCAAAACAAGATTGACAATTCATCCTGGATACAGAAGCAAGAGATAGTAGAATTAAAAGTATTGTCACAGCTGTAAGAAGGTGTGGGGCATGTGAATGCACATACCAGTTGTGTGGATGTTGAAAGCCAATACTGCACAACAAAAGAAGAACTGCTTGCAGTTGTACTAGTTGTAAAACACTATTGTTGATACTTGTATGACAGAAAGTTCACCATTAACTTAGATTATGTGTAACTGAAATTAATAATGAACTTTCAAAATCCAGAAAGTTTTATTGCACCTTGGATGATGGTGTTACAAGAGTAAAACTTCATCATACAGTACTGTCCAGAGAAGTAGCACGCTAATGCAAATGAAATATCTTACTAGATGGTGGGAGCTCATCTATTTGCTGAATGTTCATTACTTGGTCATCATTTACCTATAAAAGCTATCGTAGCAGCAGTGACAATGAACAAAACAAGCAGTGCAGTCTTCATTAGTGAATGGACATCATTCAATACAAACCTAGAAATTTGTAACAAGCTACTCCAGTACCCAGATATTGGACACAATTTGTTATGCAGCAAAATTAATAACAGTTTTCTGAGATCTGTATGTAAAGTACAAGCATAAAAAATCTTGTATGAGTAATCAAAAATGCAGGATGGTGTGATGCACCACTATTATGAACCACATAAACATGGTGCCCAATGTTTGATACAGCTTGTGGTCCCAAGGGATCTTAGGTAGGATGCTCTGAATTTTGCATGACGAAAAGGTTGGACGACTTGAGTGTGACCTATGTGTTACTCCTATTGTGTGAAAGCAGTTTTTTGCTCTAATTTGTTCTAATACATTAAGAGGATGTAGTGTGTTGTTCAGAGGTTAAGCCAACTATACCAGTAATAACATCTAACATCAAGGTGTAGGTTCTCCACTGCAAAGAGCAACTTTGGATACCACTTGCTCTTTAATTAAAATGGTAAAATTAATTATATGAAGTGGTCATTATCAATTGCATCACTAAAGGGTTTAAACTTCATCTATTAGTTGATGGGGCAGTGGTCTGTCACAAATAAGTTAGCCAAATAGTAAATAGAACAATACAGACAC